TGCTGGCAAGTCTCTCTCCTTGGCTCTATACAAAGATTCATATTTTTTTTCTTTTGATACAATATAAGGACCTGGATTCTATTACTAAAGTTACGTTTACATCAGACAACAGAATATCAATTTCCTTTAGACTACAATAGATTGCTTGAAACACACACAACCGTGATTTATTCAAGGTAGGAGTATCTAGCACTGAACAGAAATCAAACTACAGCAAAATAACAAACAGAAAATAACTTGCCAATGTTATTAGTGATATGCTATGATTTTGACGCTTACAGTCACATTATCAAAATTGTTTTTAAAGGAACACTCCAAGCTCCATAAATGCAACAGCCCACTGTAGTGGTTATGGTGCCAGGAGTGTCCTGGAGCCCTCCCAGTGTATTGTAGTCAAACCATTTTAAACCGTTTGGCAAACGGTTTCAAACATTTTCATACAGAGAGCAATAAAGGAGATGCAAACCTAGTGCATTCTATCTATTTAATTGAGTGAATCTCCTTTGTTTTTTGTTTTTTTAATAGCACCATCAGCCTGCATACACACAACAAACAAAACAAAAACAAAAACTATATCTAAGCTAGTTTTGATGTAGAAGCAGTAATAACTACAGGCCCATTTTGCTTAAAAAGTCTTACAAGACTGAAAGACACAGGTGGAAAATATTAACACGGTTCTGTCCCTAGGTAGCAGATCACTAGGAAGATAACCCAAAAGGATTTTAAAATTTGACCATACCCTAGATTTAATGAAGGGAAAACAATGTACTCTTTACAAATAAAAATACAATCAGATACTGTAAAATGATCTTCACATCTGTGATGCAATTAATCAAATCCTTTATGTAATAAAATTTATAATCGTTTTAAGAGGTTCCACCTTCACATATTTTTATTTCAAAGCTCACCATTTATGGAATCTTAAAAGGACCGCTATAGGAACCCAGGACACTTCAGCTCAATGAAGTGGTCTGGGTGCCAGGTTCCTCTAGGGTTAACCCTGCCTGCTGTAATCATAGCAGTTTCATAGAAACTGCTATGTTTCACTGAGGGTTAATCCAGCCTCTAGTGGCTGTCTCACTGACAGCCGCTAGAGGCGCTTCTCACTGTGAAAATCACAGTGAGAAGACGCTGGATGTCCATAGGAAAGCAGTAATGCTTTCATGTGGGCTGTTTGAATGCACGTTTGGCTCTTGCCGCGCATCTGACGTTGGCAGGGGGGAAGAGTTCCCCAGCCCAGGGGGAGCCCGGCGCTGGAGAAAGGCAAGTGGTTGAAGGGGTTTTAAACCATTTAGCCCAGCGGGAGGGGGCCCCTGAGGGTGGGGGGACCTAATGACCCTATAGTGCCAGGAAAACAAGTTTGTTTTCCTGGCACTATAGTGCTCCTTTGAGAACAACACCATGGAAAAACAAAGGTCCACAACATTCTCCCCAATTCACAAAGTTTAGAAGATTTGATTATGCACCAACATGATGTAATTTGTTCCACTTTTTATTAGACTTACTTTGTGTTTGTTTATGCTTGTATGTCAAAGATGACACACTATGAATGTCTTTAAAATCATGAATTAACGTAGGAAATAACTGACAAATCCGAGATGTCGGGATTGTTGCCTTCTTCATAAAGGACTCAGACAGATTGAATATCTGATACAAAAATAGCACTTTAAGTGCAGATTGGATGCATACTGCACAGTCACCAAAATGTTTCACAGTATTACACATCACAGGACAGGATCTTTTTCATGCAGGGGAACACAAAACTTTTAAGCTTGAATTTTTCCCTATAGCCAAGGCAGAAAAATAAAGCTAGAGGAGTAAAATTAAATACCATAAAACACCCAAGATGTTGGATTTGCAATCCCCTGGAGAACACACAGACATAGCACAGTACCTGGGGCACTTGTGGATCTTATTGTAGAACTGAAACATAAAACTCAAATATCTAGGGACAGTGCCTACTCAGCGGAAGCAATATTCTACAAGATCAATTCAGGCCAGTCAATTTATCAAAAAAAATGATAAGAGTGTTAAACCCAATACCCACAAATACTAACACATATAACCAGATCTATAAACTCATACTTCTACAATTTGCAGAAACCACTTGTTAATCAATATGAGATGAGGCCAAGTATGATTATTATGCATTTCAACTAATTTGCTTCTCTATAGTACGTTTCCCCACAGATTAATGTCAAATTTTAGCTTTGGGCTGATATGTGGATAGTTTTTAATGTGCTTAATGTCTGTACAAAAACCTATACTGAACAGGGCTGGGATACTGAATAGTAACTAAAAATTAGGCAAAGACCACAATGAGACAAAGGGAAATCAACCAAAAATGTGCCAAACTGCAAGGGTTTCATATAGTATAAGCAATGCATGTTCCCCGGAGAGAGCATGTGAAATCACAGGCCTAGTTTGACTTCAAATTACAATGAGGCAGAAGAAAAAAAACAGAAAACACTAATGAGGCCATTCCTAAGTGTTTGACATAGGAAATATGTAGGAGGTCATTAAAGCTCACTGGACAAAGAAGAAAAAAAGGCCTTGCATGAGGACATCCAACGTCAAAACACCATAGTAGACAACTGAGTCAATGCTTTTCTATGGGGCAGGCCTAATGCACTTGGCGCGCATGCACATTATGTTCCTCACAAATCAGCAATGACAGAGGAGGAGGCCTCATATATATATATATATATATATATATATATATATATATATATATATATATATATATATATATATATATATATATACACACACACACATATATATATATATATACACATACACACATATATATACACATATATACACACACACACATATATATATATATATACATACACACATATACAAAAATATTTTTTTTTTCATAAAGATACATTGAGGAAAGATACATTGAGATTTCTCTCATTTTCAAGTATGTTGTGTGTGTGTATATATGTATAAAAAAATAGAACAGTATAACATTCTACACAAAGAAATGAGAGGTTTTATTGTTAGAAGGGTATATGTGCAAGCTTAAAGGGACACCATAGGCACCCAGACACTTCATTTCATTGAAGTGATTGGAGTGCAGTACCCCTGTATGTTTAACCCTGTCATGAAAAACTTTGCAGCTCCTGAGAGACTGAAAAGATTACACTACAGGGTTAACGCCACCTCTAGTGGCTGTCTTCCAGAGGAGCTTCAGGGTTCCTAGCGAAGTTTTACTCAGATATCCAACATTTTTAGACATAGGAAAGCATTGATGCAAAGTACTGAGAAGAGGTAAGGTTAAAGGGACACCTACAGCTTATTGCATTTGTTCTGGTGAGTAATCATTCCCTTCAGGCTTTTTGCTGTAAACACGGTCTTTCCAGATAAAATGCAGTGTTTACATTACAGCCTAGTGATAACTTTACTGGCCTAAGATGGCTGCTAGAGGTGCTTCCTTGGGCAGTGCTGTAGAGTAAGCAGCACTGCCATTCAGGGTCTGATTCAATTCATCTCTATAAAGAAGATTCTGATTGGCCAAGGCTGTTTGACTTGTGCTGGCTTTGCCTCTGATCTGCCTCCTTTACATTACAAGAGTTGTGATTGGCTCAGACTTCTAATGATGGCAGCAGACAGAGGTAGCTCATAGGCAGACAGGGGCAGAGCCAGGAGCTATAGACTTGAATAGAGGAAGGTTTTACTATATTTAGGGAGGCAAGATGGGGCTAGGAGGACTATATAGTTCTTTAACACTATACGGTCAGGAATAAGTTTGTGTTCTGACCCTATAGTGCTCCTTTAACAAAACAAAAAAAAGTGGTAACCCTTAAAGGGATTCTAAAGTCAACACCCAACACTACAGTGCCCTCTGGTCCCCACCTCCCTAGGGCACCTCCCCCAGCAGCTAAAGGATTTAAAATAAATTTTAAAAAGTCACCCGATTCCAGCGCCAGTCTCTCGGCACTGCGCTGGCTCCACCTTCATTCCTTAAATTTTTTCTATGGGGATATTGCAAATGCTGGATGCCCTCACGCAGAGCGTAAGGGCATCCAGCGTCAGGCAACCTAGAGACTATTAGCATCCAGGAAGTGCCTCTACTGGCTGTCTGACAGCCATTAGAGGCAGCCTTCGTTTTCTCTAAAACTGCAATGGTTTACATTGCAGGAGTAAGTGGGACAGGTACATTGCTCACAGAGCACTTCAATGAGCTACTATAGTGGCTCTTTAACCATCAAAAAGTTGGGGGGGAGGGGGGGGGGGTTGAGAAGTAGGAACAATAATGCAATTGTATTCCTTTAATACAAGGTTTCATATTTAAAATTTTATATCCCAGCAGTTATAAACAATTGTGATACAAAATGTAACATGCGGAGAGACACTTAATATAATTACTACCACAATTATGGGTGCTACTCCAACAAGGTACTCCCTCCAATACCAATAAACAAATACTCAAAAAGAAAGGAATGCACACCAACTGATACAATAGTATCTATCTAAATATATTTATTATAATACAATGCAATTATTACATACACAAATTGTAACAATCTGATAGTGACCAAATAGGCAAAAAAAAGGCTAAACCATATAATTACCAAATCTCACAAGCCTATATGGGCAGAAACACGAGTCACAAACAGTCCCCCAACGTTTCGGCTCCTCCTGGCAGCCTTTATCAAGGGTAGCTATATAAACAATTGTGATAACAGAAAATCCTTGACTAGTTTATCAAGTTAGAAATTTTACATATAGCTAATTTTGACAGTACCGACAACTAGTAGAAGCAGAGCCTATTTTTAATGTCTACAAATTTACATTTTATATTTAGACCTGCTCTTTATAGCAGTGTTTTCTAGGTGTGTACAAAAAGGAAATGAATTTCAAGAATGGCAATGAAATTTATTTCCGAATGGCCATTTCGTATTAAAGGACCACTATAGTGCCAGGAAAACATACTCGTTTTCCTGGCACTATAGTGCCCTGAGGGTGCCCGGCTCTGGAAAGGGGTTAAACTTACCTTTTTCCAGCACTGGGCGGAGAGCTCTCCTCCTTCTCTCCGCCCCGTCGGCTGAATGCGCACGCGCGGCAAAAGCTGCGCGCGCATTCAGCCGGTCACATAGGAAAGCATTCATAATGCTTTCCTATGGACGCTTGCGTGCTCTCACTGTGAAAATCACAGTGAGAAGCACGCAAGCGCCTCTAGTGGCTGTCAATGAGACAGCCACTAGAGGATTAGGGGGAAGGCTTAACCCATTAATAAACATAGCAGTTTCTCTGAAACTGCTATGTTTATTTAAAAATGGGTTAACCCTAGCTGGACCTGGCACCCAGACCACTTCATTAAGCTGAAGTGGTCTGGGTGCCTAGAGTGGTCCTTAAAGGAAAAAATAAAAATAAAGTTGAACTGTATAGGCAAATGTATTTACTAACTTGAAGCCAAACTTGTTTATGTGCCATTTGCTTCTAGTATATAAAAAGACACACTGATGCTACTAATTAAAGGGACACTAGAGTCACCAGAACAACTACAGCTATTGTTTTGGAGAGTAGAATCATTACCTTCAGGCTATTTGCTGTAAACACTGTCTTTTCAGAGAAAATGCAGGGTTTACATTACAGCCTAGTGATAACTTCACTGGCCACTCCTCAGGTGGCTGTTAGAGATCCTTCCTGGGTCATGCCTGCCTAAAATGCATCCAAACATGCAGTGTCTCCTCCCTCTGCATTCAGACACTGAACTTTCCTCATAGAGATTCATTGATTCAATTCACATCTATGAGGAGATGCTGATTGGCCAGGGCTGTGTTTGAATTGTGCTGGCTCTGCCCCTGATCTGCCTCCTTGTCAGTCTCAGCCAATCATATGGGCAAGCACTGTGATTGGCTCAGGCCACCACATCTGATGATGTGGAGCAGCTATAGGGATCCACATGGAACGCAAGGTTATTCACCTACAGGCTTGGACAAGCCATTACACCAAGCAACTTCACTACATCCAGGACTTTCCTCAACAACAGGAGTGGTGATATCTATCCAATACCATCCACGAGTTGATACTTGTTTTTGCTACTTTTAGTGTGTACACACTGGGACTGTATATACATTTTTTTCCAAATGTCATTTTTTTTGTTTTTAGTTCAGATTTTAATTTTTTTAACTTTTTTTTATTTTTCTGCTAAGTAGACAACAATTGTTGATTATACACAGGGCTCTCATCCATATAGTGTTTATTCACACTATTACGAGTCAGTTTCGATTTGGGATATTTTATTTATCTTGTGTTGTTCAGGTATATCACCTAGGTGTTACATGGTTGTGATCACATAAGTAAAATGTAATAAGTCATTTTGCAATATATTATACGTTGCCATAATTGTACACTCCATCAATTTAAAGAGATACTTTATTGAAAATAGGAAATTAAATAATTTTTGCTTGACATCAAATATTTGAGTGCAGTCTCATATGTTCTATTACATATAATTACATGCCAGATTAACTTTAGACTCTGTATGATTATATGAAATAAAAACAAACTCTACTGTAAACCAGTGGGCAAAGGGGGAAGATCAATAAGGGTTTAAAGAGATAGTCAATTCAAATATTATAAGATGCCGGGCTAAACATTTATTCAGTCATTTTGAAGTGGAAATTCGGACTTCGCAATTGTGGACCACCAGCACTTCCTGGGAGTATCCTTAGTGCGCTTTTAAATCAACAACTTATTGTGACAGTAGCCACAAAGCTGAGTATATGTGACCAGGAGTGAGGTTATAGGATCAATCTAGACACCATAACCACTACATGGTACACATAACACTAGCATAACACATTACAAGTCCCATGGAATTCATTGATGGAGAGCTGAAAAGGGAGTCAAGGCAGATCAAAACACATACATTTCATTCTTATAGAGGTTAAATATTGCTTTTGATATTTTATCTGTTCACATTCTATGGTGGCTAAGCATTATGGGATCTTTAACTCAAAACAAAACTTTAAGGGTACTATCAAACAAAAGGCTCACAAAGCATAAACAGAGATATGTTACATACTAGGTATCAACTTCTGAATAAAAAATAAAAAAAGCTGCCCCCCATGCCTCACTTCCCTGATCTATAGGCTGCCCCCCCATGCCTCACTTCCCTGATCTATAGGTTGCCCCCCATGCCTCACTTCCTGATCTATAGGCTGCCCCGCCCATGCTTCACTTCCCTGAACTATAGGCTGCCCCCCCATGCCTCACTTCCATGATCTATAGGCTGCCCCCCCATGCCTCACTTCCCTGATCTATAGGCTGCCCCCCCATGCCTCACTTCCCTGATCTATAGGCTGAGTTTTTCAATTAAGTGATGTGTTTCAGTGTGTGCGCGTCTGCTGGTGTGTGTGTTTCAAATCAGTGAGATTGTCGGTCATTCAGAGAGTGTGTGTGTGTGTGTGTGTGTGTGTGTGTGTGTGTGTGTGTGTGTTTAAGAAGCATTAATGTATGTCACTATTTATTGTGCAAAGAGCTCCTTTTGAAAAATCTCCATATAAATGTTTGCTATTGGTGTCTGCTGAATTCGGTTGTGTGTTTCTTCTGTGTGCTTTGGACATATTCCATCATAGCAAGATTAATTTTTTGTTTTTAAAAAAAGTATTAAATGTATATACCACCATTTATTGGGCAACGAGCTCATTTTGCAAATTCTTTGTGACATGACATCTATCCTCCTCTCCATTTAATGTCTGTAATAACTGTGTAAGCAGAGAGGCTTGTCTGTCTGAATGGCTGACGTTACAATAATACTGTTGTGTAACTACTAATACTACATTATCATGTCAGAATACTGTAATTTAGTGTTATAAACCGTGAGAGAGAGGCTGCGCTGTACCACAATCATCAAGGAACAGGTTTACATTCGCACAAACATTCAGTGTGCACAAAATTTTGGATCGGGAAAACAAATTTTGCACAAGAGAACATCTCTGAAAACACAAACACAGCACTTCCTGGGAGTATCCTTAGTGCGCTTGTATATCAACAAGTTATTATAACAGTAGCCACAAAGCTGAGTATATGTGACCAGGAGTGAGGTTATAGGATCAATCTAGACACCATAACCACTACATGGTACACCTAACACTACCATAACACATTACAAGTCCCATGGAATTCATTGATGGAGAGATGAAAAGGGAGTCAAGGCAGATCAAAACACATACATTTCATTCTTATAGAAGTTAAAGATTGCTTTTGATATTTTATCTATTCACATTCTATGGTGGCTAAGCATTATGGGATCTTTAACTCAAAACAAACTTTAAGGGTACTACAAACAAAAGGCTCACAATGCATAAAACAGATATGTTACATACTAGGTACCAACTTCTGAATAAAAATTAATGGAGGGAATTAAAACGGATGTCACTAAACATAAGACGCCTAGAAATGTGTTTTGACAATAGTAATGTGTCTGTGCCATTTATTTATAAAACATGAAATGTAGACTCAAAACATGGATTCTTTCACAGGGCTACTTAACAACAAACAAAAGTACAGACTAAAGAAAAAGGATAATAAACTGAAGTATAAATATTTGAGATTACACAATTCACGAAATCAAATAAGGTGGAGTTTGTTTACATAATAACTTTGTTCATTGTAGAGTTCCCTGTCTACTCCTGAAAACAAAGAAGTATATCATTATTCTGAAATATATCAAATAGTTTATAAAAATTGGATCACATGACTCATTTTCAACCCAGCACTAGTCAATTTATAAAAGAAATATCAATTGGGCATTTTCCTTAACTGAATACACTTCGCATGAACTCATCAAGTACTTAAGGTAATCTCTTCTGAATGCCATGCCAGTTGCTCACACAGATTAAATCTTGAGTTAGAAATGCAATCATCATGGGTAAAGGCCTAAAACAAAGGATACAGAAAAGCAGAAAAAGGCCCAAAACAGCATGATGTCATTACAGACTATATTTCATCACAACTAGGAAGGAAAAAGCTTGAAGTAAAGAAAAGAAAGATTTAAAAAACACACCACACGTCACAGTGACATAAGGTGTCAACTAACGGTCCTAGATTTCTGTATTCTTTTGTCCACCAGAAGCAAGACACCAGGGAATTGACGACAGCAGAGGTTCCCAACCTTTTTTCACCTGTGTACCCCTTGGCATCACATTTTTACACATACAAGACACTGACAAATATACACAGATACACAAAAAATACAGACACACAAATAGGTAACAATTTAAGTAACCCTCTAGTTTCCCACGTTTTAGGTACAGAAGAGTGGCTTCTGCTGGCTGGGGATAATGGGCGTAATGGCCTTGATCCTTTCCTGGTCTGCTCTCCCTCCTGCCTGCCCTCTGCGCAGTTGGATCTGTCAGTATTAGAGAAAAGATTTACATTGCAGGGTTGAGACTGCCTCTAAATCCTGTCCCCGAGCAATTTAACCCCTTAAGGACACATGACATGTGTGACATGTCATGATTCCCTTTTATTCCAGATGTTTGGTCTCTAAGGGGTTAATAGAGTTTATCTGTGTGAAACGACACTGGACGTCCTGATGTGCATGAAGATATCCAGCTTCTTGCAAAACCCCATAGGAAAGAAAACCGTCAATGTTTACTAGGGGGAAGGCCTAATGCGCACACGGCACTCGCAGCGCATTAGGTTCCTGGATCGCTCTGATGTTGCTGGAGGAGGGCCGAGGGATCTCCGCACCGAAAATCAGGCAAGTTTAAAAACTCGAGGGGATGGGGGCATGGAGACAGAGGGTTACTGTAGTGTTAGAAATACAGTTTTGGATCACTCCAAACACCATAACAGCACTGGAGTGATATTGCCAGTTATTCACCTAAAATGGACAGACAAACAAATACTCATTCATAAATATATACATTGAAGCACATACACAAACAATTAAATGGTTTAATTATTGAACTTCTCCTGCTTCTTTGCTCCCCCTTTTTCGTGTTGGGTAGGAAGAGGTGATGACAGGTCAACAACATTGTCCCTTTTGATAGTGAGAAATTAAGCAGTCTCTGCATGAGGCGTTGGTAGAACGTTTTCCCCAATCTCCATGCACCCCTGGATGTGGTTTTTAAGCAGTGCAGTGAAGCAAAATGGCTCCTCCACACAGGTCATATTTCTACCACCTCTTTAAGTCATGATGGCGTGCAATGAGAACTGGTAGACCTTCCATGAGCTGATCTGCCGGTCATATCCTCTCCTTCCACACAACAGATAGAACAAGTGAAAAGGAGAGGACGTACAAATTAATCC